AGTATTAGTTTTGCCCCCAGATTTCCCCAGTACTAGCCCTGTCCCCTCACCTAGCCTTGCACTGTCTCCCAGCCACCATCTGAGTACTGCTGCCTGGGTTCTGTGCAGACCTTCTGCTGTTCAGCAAAACGTTCTTCTGTGTCTGGTAAGAGATCCTGCCCAGTGTTGGTTGGCTGAAAGGTGGGGGCAGGACACGCCTCTCCCAACAGCCATAGTGGGAGCAGCGTATTCTGGCCCCCAGAGCTATCATGGCCCGGCAGCTGGAGCCACCATGGTCCGGCTGCAGACCAGTGGTTGGGAACCACTGGTCTATACTACAGCCATAGGAAGGTTCAGAGAGGGCCCTGGCAGCAGTGCTAGTGGCCCCACTCTGCTCTGCTCCATCCCGCTTTAGGGAGATACAGGGCCTGAGCAGTACCACCAGCCCTGCTTCATTCTGCCCCATCTGCACTTCTGGGGTATGTGGGCACTGAGCATTGTGGGGCCTAGTGACAGTGTTACTGGCTGCACTCTACTATACCCAGCCTTAGAGGGACGTGAGGCCTGGGTGGTTGGAGGAAGGCAGCATGGCCCTACTTTACTCCATCCCTGCTTCAGGAGACGTGGTGCCTGGTCAGTGCAGGGGCCAGCAGCACTGCTACTGACGATACTATACTGTGCTCCACCTCACTGGTCCCCAGCATCACTCTGGGGAGAAGGGGAAATGTGGTGAAATGGAGGCAAAGTGAGAGTGGGAATCAGTTAACCAGTTAAATGTAACATTTAATCAATTAACTGCTTAAATGCAGTCCCACTCTGTGGTGTGGCCTGGTGGGCCCAACTGGGCTGGAGCTACCCCCTCTGCCCCCCCAACACCATATCACGGTGGGCTGCTCCAGCCGGGCTGCTGGTTAAATGGTAAGCATTATCTCCTATTGTGTACACTGTGTTACTAACATTTGAGTCAAGCAGGAACCATGAAATTGACAGAAAAGCTGTCTTAGTAACACAGTGTACACATCTATTGGCTGTCATTTGAGTCAAGCTGGAACCATGAAATTGACAGAAAAGCTGTCTCTCCAGCACGGCTGCTGCTCTGGCTCAGACTTTCTACTCCCAGCTGGGCTACCACTCAGGCTCTAACTTCACTGCTCTCCATCAGGAGCATGGCAGCTGACTGGGCTCTGGGGTGTGGATCTCCTTCCAGGGATCCTGCTGCCCTTCTGGCTTTTGGCTTCTTGCTCATCACAGGGAGCAAAGCTGTGCTGGGTTGGGAACTCCATTCCAGGAGTCTGGCTGCCCTGTTCCCATTGGGCAGCCAAAGTGGTGATGAGGGCAGCAAGTCAGGTCTCTGTCTCATAAATTGATGGGAGGGGATGATGATGTCCACACTGCCCATCTTCTGTCAGTGTTGCACATGAACCACTGCAAGAAGTTGGCCCAGTAAAAGTCCATGTAGGTTTATAGTGTACGTAGGTCCTGAGGGTATGACTACCCAGGAATAAAAGCCCACAACTGCAAGAATTGAGGGTCCCAGAGCTCCGGTTCCAGCTTGAGCCCAAATGATCTACACAGCAATTTTAGCCTTGCAGCCCAAATCCCTTGAGCCAAGTTATATGACCTAAGCCATATGCAGCTGTTCTGTAGATCATTTATCCCTGTGTAGACACATGCTGAGTCTGATTAGGCTGGTCTCCCAGAGGAGGGGTAATCTTCTGGTGGGCTGTGAGACATTTTGTTTGTTGCCTATCCATTGGCACGCTCCCTCCCCAAGTGACTGCTGGCTTGCATTGCTTCCTGCAGCTCCCTTTGACCAGGAACAGTGAACCATGGTCACAGAGTACTGTGAGAGGCAGTGCAAATGTGTCTCAGCTTGACAGCAGGTTACTCTGATATGTTGTGTGCTGAAGTTTTCTGATCCCTGACTTAGAGCTTGAAAGAAACCACTGCAGCTTGCATGGGTTTTCTTTCTTTCTTTCTGTTTATGTAACCCAGTTCTAGGTTGGAACAGGGCTTCTTTGATTACATTCCAGGTTCTCCTTACCATTTCTTTTGACTCCTAGATCAGTGCCCACAGGCAGGGTTGCCAGATTTCATTTTTTTCTGTCCACGCTTCTTTGATTACATCCCAGGTTCTCCTTAGTCACTTAAAGGAGTAGTACATATCTTCACAAGGGAAGTAAGCAGTTGACTTGCTCAAGATTTCTTCCCTCCCCCCAAGCAAGGGCACGTGAAGTGAGGTGCATGCCGATTGCACACAACATTGACTCATCAGCCAAACACTCTCTGTATCAAGTCAAAGTACCGCTGTGGTTCATTTGGCACACCCTGCAAATTCTAAGTACACAGGTATCCTATCCGGGAGATTGTTGTGGTTATGAAAATCTTTTGGCCCACTGAGTTGAAGGGCCACTCATGAGGCCCAGTTGCTAGCCTAGGTTGTCTGTTGCTGAGCTAGAACCTTTATATATTCTGTGACTTAAGCACAACATTTTTAGGAATGCAGTAGTCATGTTGAGGTAACAAACAGCAGGGTGGGAAATTATTTTTCCACTATACAAAAATGTTTGAGATTTCAGAAAAGAAAAACTTTGAATTGGGATGAAATTTTAATTTTTTTTTAAATATTTTTTTGTTGTGGAAAAACCAGAGATGCGCCCCCCATTTTCCTTCAATGGTATAGCATATAGCCTAATAGTGATGAGGGAACTCATGTGGGAGACCCAGGTTCAAGTCCATGCCCTGGCTGATTCAGAGGGACTTGAATCTGATGTGAGTGCCTTAACCAGTAGGTTGTTGGCTGTTTTGGAGGCAAGAGGGGAGGGTGCATGCCTCTTATTTTGACTAGAAAATCAGTCCTGGGAGAATTTGAGTGAGGAGTTTTTTCCCAAAATTGATCAGGTCATGAAAAAGTGTTTCATCTGCATTTCTGAATAAATGTTTGTCAAATAATTCCCAACCAGCTTTCATTATAGACACCATAGACATGTCAGAATGTGACAGGATGGAGGAGTAGGGATTTAAAAGTATAACTGTTTAAATGGTTAACTGATAAGCCTGGGTTTATTGGTTACCATTAACAGTTATGCTCAGGCTCCCACTTTGCTGCTGGGGAGCCGGCTGCCACACACTGGGAGCGAGGCTGCAGATGGGACTGGTGCACACTGAGAGCCAGCTGTTGCCCTGCACTGCTGCCTCTGCTACAGCTGGCTTCTGGTGCGCAATGGGTCCTGGTGAGCTGGCTGCCACCCCGCGCTGCTACCTCTGTATCAGAGGCCACATTGCAGGTGCGTGTAACCATGTAATCACTGACCAGCTAATTTGTATGTTCTTAGTGTTAAATGAGAACTAGCGTAGAGGACAGATTTGAAAAATACTTCTGTAAAAGTAAGTTGCCTAAAAGTTAATTGTGAGTTGGTTGGTTATGCATTTGAAAGAGTGACATAGGTGTGCACCTGTCAATAGGGGGATTGGCATTGCGTGCTGCAGAAACAGTCTTCATAAATGACTGCCATGTAAAACAGTTAAATGTAAATTGGAAAAAAAAAAATTCTGAGCAGACTGTACTGTGTAGCCCTGAAAATCTGAGATTACCATAATTGCACAGGAATGTTGCAGTTTCACATCTGGAGAAGACCCAGCACACCTTTTGGCAATTCCCCTCCCAGCCAGCCGGCAGCTCCCATACATGTTTAGACGTGGATTGTGTCAGTGCCATGCCACGCGGCTTGGCTCTGTGGCAGATGTGGCAGGCGTGCTCTGCCGCTGCTTCTCCCCTGCTCCCCCACAGCAGGCAGCTCCTGCGCACATGGCCTGGCTCAAAGCTGTGTGGCTGGGTGCTGGGTTCTATTACCATAATTGCACAGGAATGTTGCAGTTTCACATCTGGAGAAGACCCAGCACACCTTTTGGCAATTCCCCTCCAAGCCAGCCAGCAGCTCCCATACATGTGCAGACGTGGATTGTGTCAGTGCCATGCCACGCGGCTCGGCTCTGTGGCAGATGTGGCAGGCGTGCTCTGCCGCTGCTTCTCCCCTGCTCCCCCACAGCAGGCAGCTCCTGCGCACATGGCCTGGCTCAAAGCTGTGTGGCTGGGTGCTGGGTTCTAATGAGGCAGGCAATTGACCTGGGAAGCGGCTCAAGTAGCTGTGGGCCGCATGCAGCCCACGGGCTTCGTGTTGAATAGCCCTGTTTTAGAAGGAACTCCATGCCTGCACCTGCGTTCCTTCAAAGGAGATTTTTATCAAAATGGGGAATGGTAGTGCTGGGATGTCAGTTGGTCATTCATCCTGTCATTATTTTTACCATATGTATCCTGCTGAGGCTTTTTCTTTGCAAATCTTGATGCCTTATTTGAAGCACAAAAAAACACTTTATCCATCCAGCTTGGTTTTTCTAGCAATGCAGTTGCAACTGCTTATTCGTATAGGGTTTAGGTAAGATACAGTTGAAAATGCCAAAGCAGAAATTGGAAAATTAGTAGTTTTTATTCTTTAAAATGAGTTATATTTTGTTTAAAATAAGTAGAAATTCTCTTTAAATGCATTAAAGGAGTTTGTACTATTTAAGTGTGTGCATTGAAAAAAGAACAAATCCCTCAAAGCTGCATCCAAGACTTTAATAGTGTGTGCCCCATCCTTTCAGCACCTTTAGGTGTTGCTGAATTTTTCAGTCTTTTAGTATTTTTCAAGAATTAGGTAGATATTCTGCTGATATATTTTAAATCAATTTCTGTATTCACCCATTCCAGTCACCTATGTTTGTTGTTCCCCTCTGACTATTTGACCATACCCTTTCAAATTTACCTGAAGGACTGCTTCCTAAATGCTGAGGCTTCTAGAAAAAATGGGAGCAAAACTTCGGAGAATTGATCAAATAACGAGTTGTATAACAGAGAAAAGTTCTTTAAACCATAGTAGTTTTTTCCCCTGTTCATTCATTTGAAAGTAAAGCCTGCCACCCAGTGGAAGTACTTGGAAGGAGACTTTTAGATGATATTAATAAAATCTCCATAACTCTTCTTAAGTTTTCAGAGAGGACATATTTGTTCTTTGGCTGTCTTTCTCTCTGCAGTGTAGATCAAAGCCTATTTATTCCAGAACTCTTTCCTTTAACACTTTATTGTGTGGGGGCACTTATAATTTTAATTTGTTTCCATTTGTTTTACTAGAAGATTTACCTGGCATTGTTTGGGTCCTCAACTCAAATAACTCTTGTTTTCGTTTATTTAAATAATTGTTCTGGGGTGGGACAGGCGATGAGGGGCTCTGTATGCAGGCTGCCCTGGGGAGAGAGGACAGTCCCAGCCCTCTTTCATGCAGCAGCTTGGAGCCAGGTGAGAAGTGCTTGTTCATAGATGCTGCAGCTGTAGTAAGCAAATCTGGGGGAGTGGTGCATGTCCCCTGGCTGGGGACAGACAAGCAGACACGCACAAACTCTCTGACATATATAGTAGATTGCTGTCCCTTTCTCCACCCCTGCCTTCTGCTGGCCCTTTGGGGTTATAGCTGTTCCCGTCCCCATCTCTGGCCCCTTGCTTCCTGTTGGACCTTTTCATTTTATGAGAAACAATCAAAATTCCATGCTAATCTTATTATCCTGGGAAAATCAAACCCTGACCTTGCTTTAAGTTGTAAGTGGAAGCCTCATGTCAACTTTGGTAGTCCTAGCTCTTACTGAGGAATTCTTGAACAAATGGACTCACAGATAAACAAAAGCACAATTCTAAAATATACAGTAAAATTAATCACAGTGATTTATAATCTCCTAATAGTTTACACCTCCATATTCTAACACTCAGGACCTGACCTGTCTTGAACGAGGGAATTTGCCAGACCAGTGTTGGTCTCCTGCTACTGGCCTCCCAGCCCACCGCTCCTCCCTGTGGCCGATCCCAGTTGTCCCTCCTGCTGGGCTGCCATGGCTGTCACATCCCTTTCCCCATTACTGGGGCTGCAGCAGCTGCCTCAACCCTGTCCCTGCTACCGGGACTGTTATGGCCCAGCTTCCCTACCAGGGCTCCAGCCCTGGTCACAGCTCCAGCCGTAGCCCTGCTGGGCTCGCAGCTACCAGCCATCTTGCCTCTGGGGCTCCCAGTCTGGACTCCCTGGTCCAGAAACATCTGTGGTCCTGGCAGACTAGAGAGTCCTGATTTTGCGAGGTCCAACCTGTACCTCTCTTTACTATCACAAATGACTTTGTGCATTGTATTATTTGTGTTCTTATTTCAGTATCACAGTGTGTCTTGACCTTTTGTATGTCAAGGACATTGGGAGTTAGAATTCTGAGACATTACCAGTAACTAACATTTTCTCGAATAGTGTGGTTCTTTTTTATTCAAAATGGTGTTTGTCGACCATGAATCTATTTTTCAGGATTTAAATTTGTATATCAATATTGAGATGTTACCTTAATATGCAACTTTATCCCAAGTAATAGAACACAACTTATCCCATGCGTTTAAGGAATAGATACTTAAACATTGAATTTTGTGACTCTCATGTGTATGTTACTCTGTTGATTTTGGTTTTATTTTTTTGTACTGTTTAGAGTTGTATAATACTATTTTCTCTTTTGTTTAAAGTGTTTTAGTAACTATATTTTTAATTAAGTAGTAAGGCTTGATAAAGCCACCTGCCTATTAACAGTGAACATTAATTTTTCCCTGTCTAGCAGCAAGCATGGCCTGGTTGATAGAGCATTTGAGAGGGACTTGGATTCTGTTCTTGGCTCTGTCATTGGGCTGCTGACATACTTGAAACTTCTACTTCTTGCGGTGTTGGAAAACATTATGAAGTAGGTGGCAAGGTCTACTGATCTCCCAAACTCATTGGCACCCTTGGCAGTGCAAGATTTTGAATTGGGTCAGCAGGCTGCTTTTTAAATACATAATTTAAAGAAGCCCAATTAAATAGTTTTTATTCTTTAAAATGAGTTATATTTTGTTTAAAATAAGTAGAAATTCTCTTTAAATGCATTAAAGGAGTTTGTACTATTTAAGTGTGTGCATTGAAAAAAGAACAAATCCCTCAAAGCTGCATCCAAGACTTTAATAGTGTGTGCCCCATCCTTTCAGCACCTTTAGGTGTTGCTGAATTTTTCAGTCTTTTAGTATTTTTCAAGAATTAGGTAGATATTCTGCTGATATATTTTAAATCAATTTCTGTATTCACCCATTCCAGTCACCTATGTTTGTTGTTCCCCTCTGACTATTTGACCATACCCTTTCAAATTTACCTGAAGGACTGCTTCCTAAATGCTGAGGCTTCTAGAAAAAATGGGAGCAAAACTTCGGAGAATTGATCAAATAACGAGTTGTATAACAGAGAAAAGTTCTTTAAACCATAGTAGTTTTTTCCCCCGTCCATTCATGTGAAAGTAAAGCCTGCCATCCAGTGGAAGTACTTGGAAGGAGACTTTTAGATGATATTAATAAAATCTCCATAACTCTTCTTAAGTTTTCAGAGAGGACATATTTGTTCTTTGGCTGTCTTTCTCTCTGCAGTGTAGATCAAAGCCTATTTATTCCAGAACTCTTTCCTTTAACACTTTATTGTGTGGGGGCACTTATAATTTTAATTTGTTTCCATTTGTTTTACTAGAAGATTTACCTGGCATTGTTTGGGTCCTCAACTCAAATAACTCTTGTTTTCGTTTATTTAAATAATTGTTCTGGGGTGGGACAGGCGATGAGGGGCTCTGTATGCAGGCTGCCCTGGGGAGAGAGGACAGTCCCAGCCCTCTTTCATGCAGCAGCTTGGAGCCAGGTGAGAAGTGCTTGTTCATAGATGCTGCAGCTGTAGTAAGCAAATCTGGGGGAGTGGTGCATGTCCCCTGGCTGGGGACAGACAAGCAGACACACGCACAAACTCTGACATATATAGTAGATTGCTGTCCCTTTCTCCACCCCTGCCTTCTGCTGGCCCTTTGGGGTTATAGCTGTTCCGGTCCCCATCTCTGGCCCCTTGCTGCCTCCCTGTGATCATTCTACAATATAACTCCTTCCTGTTGGACCTTTTCATTTTGTGAGAAACAATCAAAATTCCATGGCTTCCTGTTGGACCTTTTCATTTTATGAGAAACAATCAAAATTCCATGCTAATCTTATTATCCTGGGAAAATCAAACCCTGACCTTGCTTTAAGTTGTAAGTGGAAGCCTCATGTCAACTTTGGTAGTCCTAGCTCTTACTGAGGAATTCTTGAACAAATGGACTCACAGATAAACAAAAGCACAATTCTAAAATATACAGTAAAATTAATCACAGTGATTTATAATCTCCTAATAGTTTACACCTCCATATTCTAACACTCAGGACCTGACCTGTCTTGAACGAGGGAATTTGCCAGACCAGTGTTGGTCTCCTGCTACTGGCCTCCCAGCCCACCGCTCCTCCCTGTGGCCGATCCCAGTTGTCCCTCCTGCTGGGCTGCCATGGCTGTCACATCCCTTTCCCCATTACTGGGGCTGCAGCAGCTGCCTCAACCCTGTCCCTGCTACCGGGACTGTTATGGCCCAGCTTCCCTACCAGGGCTCCAGCCCTGGTCACAGCTCCAGCCGTAGCCCTGCTGGGCTCGCAGCTACCAGCCATCTTGCCTCTGGGGCTCCCAGTCTGGACTCCCTGGTCCAGAAACATCCGTGGTCCTGGCAGACTAGAGAGTCCTGATTTTGCGAGGTCCAACCTGTACCTCTCTTTACTATCACAAATGACTTTGTGCATTGTATTATTTGTGTTCTTATTTCAGTATCACAGTGTGTCTTGACCTTTTGTATGTCAAGGACATTGGGAGTTAGAATTCTGAGACATTACCAGTAACTAACATTTTCTCGAATAGTGTGGTTCTTTTTTATTCAAAATGGTGTTTGTCGACCATGAATCTATTTTTCAGGATTTAAATTTGTATATCAATATTGAGATGTTACCTTAATATGCAACTTTATCCCAAGTAATAGAACACAACTTATCCCATGCGTTTAAGGAATAGATACTTAAACATTGAATTTTGTGACTCTCATGTGTATGTTACTCTGTTGATTTTGGTTTTATTTTTTTGTACTGTTTAGAGTTGTATAATACTATTTTCTCTTTTGTTTAAAGTGTTTTAGTAACTATATTTTTAATTAAGTAGTAAGGCTTGATAAAGCCACCTGCCTATTAACAGTGAACATTAATTTTTCCCTGTCTAGCAGCAAGCATGGCCTGGTTGATAGAGCATTTGAGAGGGACTTGGATTCTGTTCTTGGCTCTGTCATTGGGCTGCTGGGTGACCTTGGGCAACTCACATCCCCTCTCTGTAAAATGTGGGTAATGGTACTGACCTTCTTAAAAAAAAAATTCATGATTGATAGAGCCCTGCAAATCCAAGAGTATTCACTTTATCTGTGGATATGTGCATCGACAGATGTGGATTTGGATATCTACAGCTCTAATTTCCTATCCATACAGGGCTCTAGTGATCTATTGTTGAAAACTGGTATATAAGAGCTAGATATAAGGGAGCTTATTTACCAATTTCTCCAAAATTAAACTTTTCATTTAAAGATCAAAGGCTTTTAGCCTACTTAGTTTGGAGGGAAACCTTTAAAATGAAGCATTGTACTATAGTTTACACTGCAATCAGGGTATAATTTTCAGACCAGGTATACTAATCCATGGTAGCTTTAATCTAGCTAGTTCAGTAAGAAAACCACAGAGGAAGTAGCAGCATGGCCAATTTTGAGACTCTTCCACATGGCTTTCCACAAGTTGCTCCTGCACTCCTTGTAAAAGCGACAGAGTCATGTAACTCCTTATAGACTTATTGGAGCATAAGCTTTTGTGGGCAAAGACCCACTTTGTCAGATTCAGACAAACACAGCTACCCCTCTGATACTCGCATTCCCCGTGTTTGCCTTTAATCCCCTACCCCAATCCTGCAGTTGAAGCAGTAGAGAGACCGTTTTCAAAGAACAGGAGTTTTTATTTGGGAAAAACAGCAGGGAAAAGAAAGAAATAGGAACCCAAAGGGAGGAGGGGGGCTTAGGAATGTGAGTGGGACTGCCTTCTGCCTCCCAAAGTCCTGGAGGGAACAGCTGCCCTGGAGTCCCCACCTCCTGTGTCCTGGGGCCCTGGCGGCCTCAGGAATCCTGGGAGTGGAAGCCACGAGGTTGGGGGAGGTGGGGCCGAGGTTGTTGTTGGGGCAGATGGGATTCTGGGAGGGGGCCCTCTTCAGGCATGAAGCCAGCCATTCCATAAAAGTGCCCAGAGAAGCAAACATGGTCTTACCTGTTGCTCCCTGGCAGCTCTTCTCTCCTGGTATTCCATGTGTTCTGCCAGCATCTCCTCCACGAGGGAGTTCATGCAGTCCATCTACTCCCGGAACATGTCTTAATCTGCTTTTTCCTGTGGATGTGAGCCAAGTAGACAGATGCTGGAAGAGGGAAAACATGCACTGAGCTAGCTGCAGTCCCAGGGGCAGACATTACAGGAGATGCATTGTGTTAAGCCTACCCCTAATCTTAGCCTACACTGAAGGTCTCCATTAATACAATGGAGATGTGTTCCGTGCAAGGCCAAATGTTTTCTTTAAAGCAGACACTTTACAGCAAGTGCAGAGTTTTCAGGGGAGCTTTGGGGAGCACTCGGTCTGGAGGCAGGCAGGCATGGAAAAGGGCCAGCTAAGGCAGGAGTCTGCAGAAGGAAAGGGGGAGACTGCTTCCTGCTGTGTCCAGCACATGCTGTGTCTGGCACATATGACCTCCTGGGAAGAGTTCTAATAGCTTTTTCCTTCTCCTTCCTTCAGGTTGCCATATGTTATGAGATATCAGTCTTCTCTGAATCACAGAGAGGCTACGTCTACATTGGCCCCTTTTCCGGAAGTAGGAATAAGATCCTCCAGAAAAGGGCTTTTTTTCCGGAGGATCGGGGCCAGTGTAGACGCTCTTTTCCGGCTTTTCTAAAAGCCGGAAAAAAGCGGCGGACATTTTTATTTAAATGCCGCGGGGGATATTTAAATCCCCCGCGCATTTCCCCATTGCGATTTCAAAAATTACCATGCCCCTTCCGGAAAAGGGGCCAATGTAGACGTAGCCAGAGTGATTGGGAGTGAATGCTGATTGAATATGACCATAAATCTGGGTGTTATGCTGCAATGATTTGTGGCTCAGTGACACCAGACCACTGCCTGGTGGCTTGGTATGGAAAAGTGTCCTACTGCAGAGGACAGCAAAAGATTGGCCTCCCCAAAAACCTTGTGAGAAGGATTAAAGAGTTTGTGTGAGAGCTTCATGGAGCTGTGTAGACAAGATTCTCCGCAGACACATTAACAAGCTATTCTGTGGCCCTGCTCCTCCCCGTATAGGCACAGAGCATTCTGCACATCACACCCCACTTATCCCACTTGTAGGTAGAAAAAGTTTATGAACTCACTGAAGTATTTGCCTGTAAGAAGTGTGAATTTCTTCTATTTATTTCAGAGGTATGTTCACTGAAATCTTTGTGTATCTGGGATCCTGCCTACACTGGAGAAGTGTTTTGTGGTATAGATGGGTCCAAAGTGCAATTGCACTAAGAAAAAATGCCATTATTGCAATATTGGTCTAGCTGGGTTCATGCTATTTCTTACAGCCATGCTACAAAAATTTCTTTGAAGGAAAGCAGCACTTAAAGCACTGCTACTACCATCCCTGACACACTGCTGTTTGTCATTATAGTATGAGTACAGTTGGAGTTGAAGCCTTTGCCGAGAGGTTTAGGCCCTTTGCCTCATCTCTGCACAGGCAGCTATAAAAGGTAGTGGCAGATCAACAGCATTTGATTATAAAGGTTGAGTCTGCTTTCTTCTCACAGTACTGGGGAAGTAAAGCTGTTGTTGTATAACTGGAAGGGAAAGCAGTGATTCATTTTGCAGTCTTGGCCTAAGAGGTTACTTGAGGGAGGAGCAGACAGGAGGAAAAGAAGTGCCCCTCCTCTTTCTGTTAAGTAGACAAGTAGGGGAAGTGGTGAAACAGGAAATGCACAGAGAACCAAAAAACATTAGTATATGGAATTTAAAAAAAAAAACACCCCAGGAAGGAGGGACAAGATACAAAGTAAAAACAGAAGCCAGCTGCTTACTCTCCCTATTAATTAGCCACAATTTCAGAAATAAAACTTGCACCTTACCCTAAAATTTTGCCTCTGTCAAATGTTGAAAGGACTTTTGGCTCAGTTTGGAGGTATTCTTTGTTTTCCAGTAAGCTATCTTCATGCTTATTATATTTAGCTTTCTCTCTCCTTTTATATAAGCCCTACCATTGTAATATCTGAATACTTTACAAATACTAACAAACTTATCCTCAAAATATCCCGTATGAGGTAGGGAAATATTAGCCCCCCCTTTTTTTTTTTTTTTAAAGATCAGGAAAGCCTTATTCAGAACACATTGAGGTCACTAGGACTCTCTAAAGGATCAGACCCTTTGTCACTTGGGATTTTGCAGTGCTGAGCATAGCAACACCAAAATATCTTTAAAAACCTAGACCTTAGTGAGTTTCCCAGGGTTATCTATGCAGAATGTGCAGGAGCTTGGCATTGAATCCAGATCTTGGAGTCCAAATCCGGTACCATAACCATAGGATCATCCTTCTTGTAGAATGTTCTAAGCTCTCTTTGAAGCTTAGAAGTAGCACTCTTTTGGTAGGGTTTTTTTTAAATATCAGCAATCAGTTTAATGAAACTTGGGCTAATCATGGATTTGTTCTTGTTTACACTTGGAGATCAACAGTTGCTGATTCATCTGAATAAATTGATTGAATTGCGGTGTTTCTACACAAAGAAAATCTTGTGTTACTTTTTTGAGCTAACACCATAAAAAAAAACTAGAGTGGAACATGATAAGTATATAAATATATATAAGGGAAAAAATCAGGGTTTTCTGTTATCCTTGTTTTATAACACAACATCAAGGGAACATTTAATTAAATTAAAAGATGACAAATTAAGAACTGATAGAAGGAAATATTTTTTCACTAGTTATTGTCATGTGAAACTCATTTCTACAGGAAGTTGAGGCCAAACTTAGGAAGATTTAAAAAGAGATTTGACACATTAATATTAACTCTGGATACTTGGTAATAGTTTGGAAGGGATACACTTTGGCTACGTCTACACTGCAAGGTTTTTGCGCAAGAAGTCTTTTGCGGATGAGTTCTTGTGCAAAAACTTCTTGTGCAAGAGCATGTCCATCCCTAAAAGCGCATCGCAAAAGTGATGTGCTTTTGTGCAAGAGAGCATCCACGCTGCACGGACACTCTTGCACTCTTTCTTGTGCAAGAGTGTCCATGCAGCGTGGACGCTCTCTTCACAGAATGGCCATCAGAGCACCTGTGCTTTTTCCCATAGGGGTTTCTTGCACAAGAAACCCCTCTGGAGCATTCACACTTGCCTTTTTGCACAATAGCTGTAGCACAAAAGGGAGTTACGCCTCGTAGAAGTTTTACCTACACTGGCAAAAGCCCTCTGTTCTGCCATTTTATTGCTGATTTACTTGCGTAAAAGCGCATATGAGGTGTGGACACTCTGCAGGTTTTTGCACAAAACCGACCGTTTTTGTGCAAAAGCCTTGCAGTGTAGACTTATCCAGTATGTTTCAGGGCTTAAGCCAGTCTCTGGTGATTAGAAATCAAGGTGAGAGCCAATATTGAGAATAGGATATTCCACAATTACCTCCTGACTATCTCTTATATCCAGGGGTTAGCCCACTAGCCTTGTGTTAGGTGACCTGAGTTCAGTTCCCTGCTTTGTCCCAAATTTCCATTGGTTAAATTATCTAGCTTCAGTGCCTCAGTTTCCTATCTATAAAATGGGGTTAATACTTAGATGCCTTACTGGGTGTTAGGAGGATAAACATTGAAAATTATGCAGCAATTGAGAACCACTGAGAAGAAAATGCTATATAAGTAGTAGGTGTTATTCTTTGAAGCATATGCTGCAGGTTACTGTTGGAAACAGGTTGATGAACTTGGGCTCTGATCCATTATGGGAGTTTGTATCCCCCTATGGGTGCATTTGTTTCTATCATTATCTCTAATAGTTTTTTGGATGGTAAAAAATGCCTATGTCCTTTCTACACAAGAGCTTACACAATAGAAATTTTTAGTACAGCTGGCATACATGAAAGTTCCAAAAAGAGCTTAATCACTGAAGTGTGAGTAGAAGCCAAACTGCCATAGATAACTGGTTGCCAGGCTGGGTTTTCTGGTCACGTAAAACCACTTTACAAGAAAATAATTGGTACATTCATAGAAACCAGAGAATGAAACCTTGAAGATTAGAAATGTTGATGGAATGTTGCAGAACAGATTGTTCTTTCCTTGGTTAGAGGATCTGTACTTTACTTTCATGTAGGATATATTAAAAGCTCTGATAAACAGATTTATTTGTTTTCTTGACAATTGTTTGCTATAGAACTTCATGATCCTTTTGTTTGTGCTATAGTAAGGGAAAATTAACCAGGTTGGCTGCCTCTATTACCAAGATCTAAGTGGCGGTGCTAGTTTTTGATATTCTCGTAACACAGTGGTTCTCAAACTTCACCGCCCCCTGCAGCTGGGAACCTGCACTCGCGCTTCAACTCCACAATCTCTCCAACCCCCCATGATGATAGATCACCAGCGCTGACTTCTGGTTGAGGGAGTGGGAACCCCCGAGTCTTGTGGGCTTAATCCAGCTTGTGGTGGGAACAAGCTGCTCCACTACCATTCCCTGTCCCTGTCCCCTTGGCTGGGGGCAAGGCAATGAGGAAACCTTGTCCAGCAGGGAAAAGCCTCGAGCTTCCCACCTGTCATAAAGACAATGTTGAAACCTTTCGTTTTGGACATAAATTAATTATTTTACTTAGTGTACCAAAATGTGTTTAAATAAAGTTAAAGCCCTTTATCTGTTTAATTATTTTGATTTAATATTTACTTTCTTACCAGTTATATACACCCCCTTATATTATAGCTGCATATGTAAGTTTTTTTTTTTTTTTTTTTAAGCTCCAGTTTGTTTTTATGCTCTGGGCACGCCAAAAAGTTTGAGAACTGCTGCTCTAATGGTTCAGCCAATTCCACTATTTCATGGCTTTTCTCTCTATGAGATTTGCTGGAAAGACTGAGGTAGAAATGGCTTTATCCTCAGCAACAATACATTGAGTTTATATCATGAAAGTAGTGACCATGAGATGCCAGTGCTGTTTTTAGTGATTTTTTTTAATATTAAGCAAATTACAATTGCTGAACTGCACATGCAGGTACACACATTAATCTTGCACCAAAATGAGTAAATATAATTGTTCTTTGCTAGCTGAGGACATTTAGAACATATCTGTCTGTGCAAGACTGGTTTTAATATCCTTAGAAAAAACAACTGTGGAGTAACTTTTATCCTTTTGTATGTACCTTTTCCTATGTAAACTAATAATTTCTCACATGCATGCACATGATGCTGGGAAAACCATGTATTTAGCTCAGATCCTGCAATGAGAAAGTAGGGATTGCAGGGTACGGAGAAATATTTCCATTGTGAGGACTGCCACATTGGAGGGGATAGTGAAAGCCAGGTAGCTTCCTGATGGCAGATCATTTCTTGCTCTTCAGAGTGCACTCGCCATTAGGAAAGGGTTTTAGATAAATCTTAATAACCTACATTGAAAGCATTTATTCTTCTTTGGAAGTGACTTCAGCAGTCTTCTATTTCCTAAGCTCGGTGATAAGTTAGGGTATGTTGCACTAAGGACAAAGCATCAATAAACAATAGCAGACCTGAGTTCAATTCCCTG